GTACAGCTTAATATAATTCGCTAATAGCAGTTTGATATGCCGGTTCACTTCAGCATCAAAATCACAATCGTTAATCAATAAACTTCCAAGGTATTTCAGATCAGTATATCCTCTCCCTCAGAACAGATCAGATCAGCATACCCTTCCAGCCGGCGTGTTCCTCAACTCTTATATTAATTGCATTATTTAAAAGCTTGAAGACCGCTTCCGAAAACAGTATACCATTTTCGAAATAATACGTGGGTTTCTCCACTAACGGCAAAGAACGAATCTTTTCGCGGCATGCGGAACGAACTTTAGGTGGCAGATCTTCAGAAGAACAGCTGCTAAGTCTTACCTTAAAAGCGCAATAACTAAAATTCACAACGTTAAGAATACTACGGAAGATTCAAAAATACGAGTCATCACATATAGGAAATATTTACATCTTTGAAAACTTTAACTACCCTCAATGACTGAATGAATTAGGAGTCACCATGATATCTAGTTTAGGACACTGTTTTATTCATTTTCACTAGAGGTGGTTAACAAGTGCTTAATAATGACACCGGTCATTTGTACTTGTCGATCTTTTAACGGCTCGTAGCTTCAAATAATAATTATAACTGGCGTTACACCTTGTGCTGACTACTATCTTCGATACTCTGCAGTCAGATGGGTCAAGGCGAATGGAGCCGAAGGGCAACACAATCGTACACATCATCCGTTCGGGCATGACCAGAGTAGAATACCGCTGTTTCCATTTACTCGAACGTTAGGAACGTCTTGCTCGTTTCTCGGCTGGTTGCTTCGAAGCAATGTGCGGTTAGTTCCTCACTCAAGAGAATTCGCGGCTAGACAAAATTTGTCCTTTCCGAGGATTTGAACCCGGTACCTGGATTTCAAGGTCGCGGGAGCCGCAGCTTCGGGTTTCAATAGTGGCTCTGGTCTTTCACGAAACGTAGAGACTCCATGACGCAAACTGCAAGGCACACCAAATATTCTACAGATTCAGAGTTGTGGAATACATAGTCTCCAATTCCAATACACTCGAGCCGAGGGGTTAGTCACTTCAGTTTGTTGACAATCCGTTATCTAACAACTCTCAAATAAATGACACAATCGTGAAATCTCTTTGCCACTAACTTATAAACATTATTTACTTCACTTCACTACCCAAAAGATTTGCTAATGGAATGACATAGAATTATTAAAAAAAATAACCTTTTTCTTAGCAGGCCCATTCTTTTCATGGTCATTTTCCATAACAACTCTAGGAATCAAGACGGGAAACTGAATGACAGCGTTTTCTAGATCCTGAAATTTGACATTTAGTACCATAAAGCAACATATTCAGTAAACACAAAAGGAGCGGTTGATTTCAACGGATATTTGGTACGGCATTCTGCTTTGCCTACTAAGAAACTATTTTACAAAACATCAAACCTGCTGAAAAAACTAAGAAAAATGGTCAAGAATTAGAGTGCTAAAAAATTGAAATTTTTAGCTGATCAGAGTGTAGCGGAAAATACTCATTTAAAACGTGAATTAGAATTAAACAGTGAATAAAAGCATCCTGCTTATGCAACAATATTAGCAGCAAACTACAAGAAACCCATCGTCAAGTACATTCATCCTTCTGAATTTGAAAGCAGTCACTTATTTGTTCTACAGATTGAGACCAATTTAAGTACCGTGGGTAATGAACCGAAGAGGCCTGTTAAGTTTCTAGTTTTGGTCAAAGTAAAATTAAATAACTACCAGCTGTTTAGTCGGCAGAAACTCAAGACTGAGAGATCATGCGTTATATACCCATTCGAAGCAACGGCCTTAAGAGAAAGATTATATGTTATCATGACGAAGAGCAGATGAAATAAACAGTTTATCAATTAATGAAGCAGGCTTGTACCACAAACAGATGTTTATCTTTTGCTCGGGCTTTCGGGACAGGCTGAGATAATGCCAACGCGTATTGACATACGAGAATAGATTTTAGTGATATACCGAATTGATCAGCTACCTTCTAACCCCCATAAAAAGAGCTATTTTCCACTGTGTATCAGTTTGAACAATAGAGCATAAAGGAGGAACTGAACTTGAACAACCGCGACGATACCTCTTTCCAGTGCGGCTATCTCCCTCATACCTCAAAGTTGAAAGACCTTGTGCTAACCGTGCTTCCAGTGCTGCTTGGTTATGACGTACAGAAGGAGATGACAATGTACTTTCAACCCATAAAAAGGATAACACTGTTTTGGCAATAAAACTGTAAATTACAGGTTAAAATTTTGAGAATAAATGTTTTCTGAAGGTATAATCTTCATCTACTTCTTCCATCGCCACTTCTCCTCTCGGGTTGCGGAGGCAGAGGCGTCAAAGAAAGCTTCCAAAATTTCTGATCCTGTACCAGAGTCTGTGCATCGGCAGAAGACAATTAAAGTCTGGAACAGACACCTTCCATATAATTACACCAGGTTAATTTTGGCAGTCCCCTGGGCTTTCTGCTGGTCAGTTTCGAAAGAAAGAGTTGTTTAGTCTTCCTTAGTGGAGGCATTCTCAACACATGGCCAAATCATCGCAGCTGTAACTTTTCAATCTGGAGAAGCAAAAGCTGTTCACCAAAACTCTTCCAGATGTCAGTATTCCGGACCACGTCGAGACGCGTTAGAATGTCCACTTCAGCAGATTGTACCCGGATCCACGACTGAATCCTATGATTGTATGCAGGGGGACAAAGCTCGATTTGAACATCGAAAGCTAAATTTCAGACTGAGCTCTGCTTTATTCACGATGGATAAGGCTACTTCATACAGAACTCCACCGGCTACTCTAATTCACCGGTCGATCACTTCTTCCAACCTTCTGTCATTAGAAAATACAGTTCCAAGTTATATGAACTACTCCACTTGCTCCACTGCTTGTCCGTTAATCTGAAGAGAGCAACGGGCAGGAGAAAGAGAAAGCACTAGGATTTTCATTTTAGATGCGCTCACACGCATGCCGGTAACGTCGCACTCGTCTGCGAACGTTTCTAGGGAGCACTGAAGAACAGTTTCAGAAGACACTAATGGAATTATAATTGTAATAGCATCATAATGCCATCATGGCACGTCAGAAAAGGGACCATTTGAAGGTATCTATAAAACCAAATAGAATTAAAGTGTATATTCCATAAATTTCGTAGAAATGTAATCTAGATCCAGTGTTTCATTTCTTAGAAAATTGTTTTTAGGACATTTAATTTACTTTTTATGTGTTGCATTGTCGAGAGATGCTACACATACATGTTCATTTATATGTACATGCAGGATGATTTTCCTAAATTACAGTAGTAACTTCGTCAAATTCTATGATCAAACGGCTGGGAGAGAGTTACTTTGGGTTTGAAATTTGCGTCAGTCATAACCATGCAAACTAAGCTACTTATACTTGCTCAACTCACTGAAATTAAGACGTTGCATCGTCTTTTAACAGCATCAGTAAATGCGGAATTGCATGACATACATGTTTCTCAGCTGTAAGTAGTATTTCGACCAATTCATAGAAGTTGCATAATGAAATTTCAGTTTCTAAAGTGAAGCATTTTGCTCCAGTCCAATATGGAATCATATGTTCTAGTTAACAGTTCAATTTGAACCTAAGTTCGACGCCAGTTTAGAATGAAATTGAAAAAAATTGTTAAAGCTGCGCAAAGAAATTTTTATCGAAACGAACTCGCCTTTTTAATACGTTTGTCTTAGTTTGAACTAGTAACGACAAGCTAAGTGTTAAGCACCCCGCTTAAAATTCCCAATAGCATATATGCACATACTAACAACGATGGATTTCTAGGCGGTGATTGACCAACAGGTAAATCATTTGACGGTGCAAAGTCTGCAATCGTTTGAAACATTGTCAGATATTATTCATCAAATATTGTCTCGCCATAGCGCTGGGATCATTCATCTTCTAAGCAGATGAAACATCTTTGGTAATGCCTTCTTTACCAATTAATAAGGAATGACGCCCTCGTTGTTCTTCCGAAATCCAGGTGAACTACTTTTGGAGAACTGCCGGGAGAGTAGAAAAAAGCTTCCTCTCTAGAGTTTTGCATACTTCCGGCTTGTTAGACGACCCATTTGATTATCACTCGCTTCTGTATGGAAAGGAGGTTGGATGGATTTCGAAAAGTTACTTGTGATAGGAAACTGACCTTTGAAGTGCTATATTAAAAAAAGTATTGATTTTACAATCATATTCAATATGACCACTTTTGACAGTCAGATCAAATGGTTTAACTACATTGCAATATGTGATTTTTTGCTGATTTATATTTGGATTGATTTCCTAAACTTCCACACCAATGCGATGAGGAATCTGGAAGTTGTTTAACAACTGCCAAAATGCAGCAAAATAGATGCGGAACAACATAAGATGTAGTCTCAACAAACAACAGAGGACAAACAATTTGTTTCAACAATCGCTGAACTACTAGGTAATAATCAATGCTTAACACCACTAGCTACGTAGTATGTACATATCATTTTGGAAAGATAACATCATGTGATATGACGTCTAGGCTTCAGCATCGGCTGCCAATAAAATTTTTATACTGTCAGTATTCAATATTTGCAAGAATTTCAAATCCAGGAAATGATTATTAGCAACGAAACTGACAACACTCCAATAAAAACAATAATGCGTATACGGGAACACAACTCTTACAATCCAAGCCTTATTGTCATTGCATTACTAGTACTTCGTGTACTCTACATGCCCAAAATCTGCAGATTTCAGTAACCGATTAATAAACCTATGTGAACATGTATGCATATGACACTGAATTGGATGTAAGCTTAATCCAGCTATGCGTTTGTATGTATTGTTTTGTGTTTAATCAAAATCTCCATATATTCTTCTGAATGGAAATGTCGTTCGATGGCTTCTAATAACCAACTCAATCGACTGACTAATTGAGGAGTTCAGTGCAAGTTGAACTTAGACCATTAACCACTAAAAACTGTTGGTGAAAGACTTTGAGCCTCTACTACTATTCAACTAGTTGCATTGTTTGTCAACTTAACTGTGACACTGCAAGAAAATTTGAGGGATGTATGATCTATCGCATACCTAACACTGACTAAAATATTTATTTAAAAAAGATTCAATAACAACAGCACGATAAATAAACACTCAACGGACAAACGAATTAAAGCACTAACAACATTTCAAACAATTACACAGAATTTAACAACGAAGAGATTTTCAAAGCATCGTTAAGCATATGCTGTCTTAGGTTCCACAACGCCTGAACTACGTCATTGTTTACCGCTTCTTTGTCGAAAAATGTAGAAGCCAATTTCAAGTTCTGCGAGTTAGCAACGGGTCGAGGAAACGAGCAACCAGGTTCAGGCCATTCTGCTAACGTAGGGCTGTTGACAAACAGAGCATCAATGTATCTAACAATGAAAAATCGATTAAAGTCAAAACTCACCTAAAGTTAACACTATACTTTAGATACGACTGTGAGTGCAAAACACGCCGAATTCTCTGCGGCGGCGGTGAAACAAAAACAGGCTGCGGTTTGTCAAACGACTGCACAACGCATCGTCCAGGATCGACTCCGTGGAAAGTGCTGTCGGTCAAAATTGGAGCAGGTGGATTCGCCTGGCTTACGGGTGTCAATGGTGTCACTAAAAAATAATTCACTTAAAACAAATAAATTTACTGTTACAATGACATTAGATGTTAAATGAAGGGTCATAATGAGAGATTTCAATCAGAATCAAAGTTAAATTTCTATCCACTCACACAGCAACAGATATTTAATTCGAAATTGACGAAAAATTCCAACTCTTTACTAAATATAAATACAGGTATCATAAAAACAAGCAGTAGCTCAAATATTAAATTAACTCAATTTCATTACATTTATTCCTATCTAAACACAATTTTATGACTCATAAAATTAGCATCGATGTGTTTAAAAGCCTTACTCCGCATACATACATTTTATTAAATAAAATTCGAACGTTCTGGATTGAATTGGGACCATTTTGCGACAACTGGAAAAACAAGCAAAACTGTTGTTGTATACTGTAGAAACGATTTTAAGGTATCGAACAGTAGCAACATAAAATAATGAATTGCTGATACGTATTGTAGTTTCAGTTGACAGATTTAGATGTAATTCAGTCGTCTTCCTGTCAACTCCTCTATCGTCTTCTTCCTGGTTGATCACAGATCCTCTCCGTTGCCATTGTTCATACATTCGCATGTTTGAATCAAAAGTGGATAATTAACCGCTCTGACGGAATATCAACATTTCGCTGATCCCATTTGCACCTTAAGATCATTAAACGATATGCAACAACATTTTTGCATTATCTTTGCACAAGCAGTTACATAACCCTGAAGACAGATGGATCTGGCTCTATCTTAAGCACTGAGATTTTGTTCAATACAACTTATACGGGAAGTACATCCCATGAAAACTTCACTGATGAAGAACTTGCCATCCATTTAGAGAATTCAAGTAATCTCCTAAAAACACAGTAGAAAAACTGCTAAGATCATCACACTCATCGTACATGCACTTAGTATATGCTTTAAAATAGTTAAAAAATTGCTAATAGTTAAATACAATAACTCATTAAATACAGTCATTAATTTCGCCGTATTTCAATTTCTCAGGATTCCCTAGCATGATGATTTGCATGTTCACTAGCTAACACAAGACACCATTGATGTGTCAGTAGTGTACATACGCTCAGGCCAGGTCAAATTCTATCATGAATGATGAAAGATAATTCTGCTTCGGGAAGCCACTGCCATCTGTTGCCAAAGAATAACTGCAGGGCTAAATAATGTTTTACGTAGTGATCACTAGGCTCAGCAAAAGGATAAACGATCTCAAACTGGATCAGTAAAGAACTGGACAGTAAAGGCCTACTGTATTTTAAGAAGTGTAGTTCAAATGCTTAAGGGCAGGGCAGTTTCCTAAGTTCAAAGACACTCACCTTCTCGCATCTGACTCATGGGCGGATGTGCTGGTGACTTAACTTGATAAACTAGAACCGATGAATTCTGAATGACGTTTCCCTGAGAATCCACCAGAACATGCGAGCTGCCTAAAGTAGCACAAAGGATTAAGTCGTGGTACAAATTCAAACTGAAAACAAAACGACAGTTTAAAAGAAAAACAAACTGTGTCTTTTGCAAGAGACCGTTATGGGCATTGAATGATACTCAAAAAATGTGCTGTGCAGCAGCAAGTTGGACTATCTATTAGTAAGGAATCTAACTGCAACCAAAAAGTAATTACAAGAAAATACTTAAAAACAGCCAACCCTATCTTCCAATATCCAACAGATTTCCATCAGATTTCGATAAGTCGCTGAAGAATTGAAGAGGCATAATGAATACTCCTCATGATCTTACTAACTCAGTTTGTCATAAATAAGAGTGGCTTTTTCTTGATCCACGGTTCGAGACAAAAATTAGTTAAGTGAGACGCAACTCTGCATGACAGTCGATGGAGCGTAGAACTTAAACGGCAGATCCCGGGTTCAACACCCGGTTGGGTCATTCACCTTTCTATCTTCTGAGGTTGATAAATCAGCACCACTCTGTGGGAAGGGTATTAGGAGACTACACACTATGTTAGCCAAGTAGCTGTCGTCTGTCCTTAAAATAAGGTGCCCGTGGCTGATGGTACGGAAAACGAGATCAGCGCTCCACAACTGACTTCATGAAACGAAGGGATCCAAAAATGGCTCCGTCATGAAAATGAAAGGGTGTAAGTCTGAGAGTCCAATGCTTACAAAGTTTCCATCTGTACTTCTCCTTCAATGAGACGCTAAAGGTCAAAACTAGTCAAAACAAGTCAAAATCAAGATCTACATTAACTTCAAAACATGGTGCGGCAAAACAGCAGCCGGAAACTGAGCAGCTACTTTAAGATTATTATAATTTTGACTGCCGAGAATATACAAAATAGCAGCTGCTGGATGGCGCTGGTGAAACATAACAAATAAAGATACTCCAGCACAATATACTGAAATACAACATATGCGTACCACTTCTTAAATTAACACTATGCAATGGATGAATTAAAGTAGTTACATCGACTCATTCCAATGTCCACGGAAAGGAAAACGTGAACCATTTCATCTTGCTTAACATCAGTTCGACGTTTCGATCGAATAAGTACTGGCGATTGTCAAGGAACATGGAAGCTTATTCTTTATCTGTCTCAATCCATCCCACTATGAGGTTATCATATCTTCATGCTTTCGCCAGCGACATTTTCAACAGGAATTCCATTCAAACAATTCACACTGTAAACGCTTTCCCAGTACACGCTCATCTGACCAGTTAATGGCTTCATTTTACAATGGCATAAAAAGAACCTTCAGGACTTAATTTACCATAACTACATTATATATTTCCTGACATGTTGCAGCATATCAGAGTAGCAGTACTGTACCTGTTGTTAACTGACCGGAAGACTGCTGAAAGCACATCGTCTGTTGACCAGGAGTTGAAGTGGAAATCTGGACTTGAGGTGATGACTGCGGAGTAACTGCTGTGCTGCCTTGCGAATTCTGTGAGTTGTTCAAACAACTTGAGCCAGGAGAGAACGGCGCAGACAGCGGTACGTAATGTCTGAAAAAACGAATAAAGCATACGAATTGCAAGAGCCTAACTGCATAAAATAAAGGTTGCTGTCAACCATAAATCTGTCTAAAATTAGGTATATACATGTGTGTGTGTCACTGTCATTCATAATCTGCATCAAATCATGAAGAGCTAAAATTAATTATGTCCGTGAGACTGTAAATGAAATATTCGGTTGCCGTGTCTGGGGAACGCTGGGCTCGAAATCGCTGAACGTGCCGTCGATGGGCATCAAGCTAGCCAAGGTTGTACAAAGATAAAGAAAAGGTTTTGCTTAAATCGGACGAAACAAGTGTAACTGGAACAAAATACCAAGTGCGTAAATGAAAGTATTTGACACAAAATGATAAACATAAAATATCTGAAAACTGTAAACCTATTAAGCGTTGCGCTTTCGAAACTCCAGACAGACGATGCTCAGCATGACAAAATCAATAATCATGGATAGCGCATTGAAAAGTGTGCACAAATCGTATGTAAATTGAAACTTCTGCTGGATTTGATTTCATAGCGAGTTACAAATGATAAAACGTTTTTAACAAACTAAAATCACCCGCTTTTGAAGCTGCTTATAAAACGGCAAAGCTGTATATCTGAAGCTTACTTATTTCTGTTCGTAAAGTTCACGTCCATAAAACTAGAAACTTTAAAATACTGAAAAAATTTTAAGAAATTAACGTTTGTTTCAAAATTCTGCCTGCTCCACAGCTGATCAGGATGCTGAAAGCAGTGCTGTCTAAAATTTGCCTTGAATTTGAAGGTAATTATTACTGCCAATGTTACGGTGAAGTCATTGTGTCAATGTCACCAATGTTAAAATCTTCATGACTTCCTATGATACTACCGCTACCGTTACGATGAGCAGCTGATTCAATATCAAGCCGGTACCCAAACGTACCGCCGGTATGCGGATCACAGTTACGCACTTTTCAAACCATATCAGTAAATCGACAATTATCTTTGCTTCTCTTACAGTCATAATTAGGATAAACGCACCGAACTCACTCCTGACCGAGACAATATAAATCAATCACATTCTTTCATGTCATATTAAGAGAATATCCAGTTACAATTATATATTTACAGTTTGTTACAAGGATCTGAAACGCAATAGGTCCTTTCACGTAATTATCAACAGAATGTTATTATCAACAAACGAATGTCGTGCCACAGCATATTGAAAATGATAAAAATGAATGAAAGGAATGTCCTACCTGGGAAAGGTTTTTCATAAGAATAATTACACATATCTCAAATTCGAAAAGTTCTTAACAAGACTACTCAAACGACATACATAAATATATAATCTAAGGGTTTCTGACCTGCTTGATATGTCTTCAGAGAGATTTTATCAGAATGTTATGGTATACACCGCGTGGAACAGTTTGGTACACAATCTACAGTAAAGCTTCAGCCATTGCAGCATAACTTACAGTTCGAAATTAAGCTTAAAATAACATCCTATTTTGATAGAATAATCAAGGTTTCTTTTATCTGTGGGTTAAAACATTCCTCTCACTATATATTCCTTTACTTGGTCCTACAGTATGCAGTGTCGTTCTTTTCTTGTGCTGTTGTTTCACAGCTGCAAATTGGTTTTCGAATTCTTTCTCATTACGTGGGGATCTTCCACTTTTCTTCGGCCTTTACGCTACTGCGCTTGTCCATTCTGAGGTATATCAACGTTGCACCATCTTGTCAGGTTACCTGTGTTTTTCTCCATTTCTTCCATGGTATTGCTGGTTCCTTTTATGTAACTGAGACCGCATTCAAAAGGCAGGGCGTAGATTCAGCATTTATATTAGGATTTTGGTCTAACGGCTCTGCTATGCATAAAGTGGTTCCGTAATGCTTCTTTCGACCTCAATACTAGCCTAATGCATTCGGGCGATGCTCAGCAGCTTTTCGCTTTAATGTTTCACGTAAGTAACTGTATCGTGGCATCACGGCTCTGTTGTCCCTCCCTGCTAATTTCGTTTCTACTTGTCTTTTGCTAGTTGCTTCGTCTATTAGAAGTCTAGAGCAGCGCCAGTGTTTTTGAGACCGCTTTGGATGCAAGCCAATTCATTTCAGATACCAACGTAGTCTGAGTTTAGTTCGAAGCATCTGCTGGGTAGAGTGTGAGCGATGCCCTAAAGAAATGTTCTTCAACCAGTTTGAGTGGCTCGAATCGAAAGGCAACAATTTATTGGTATATTTTGGCTTACGAAACACTTTAGTACCATACCAGTTTCTCTTTCTCGTTATGTTTGCGTCCAGAACAGGCATCGAAGTTTCTGGTCCCACTTCCATAGTGAATATGGCTTCTTCTGGATATACCATGCTGATGTGGCCTGTGCAGAGCCTATCTTCTTACTCTTTACACAGATGGAGAATGTCATCAGTGTAACTTCTGAGACTTTTTTTATATTATTTATTTCGTCTAAACAACGATTTGCGCCGATCCCCTTCTCTCAGTGGAAATATTTCCATTTGTTATCGATTAACTGTTTCCATTCCTCAAATTTTATCTTAATTAGGCCTGGTTCAAAGTAGATGTAAAAGGCACTACACTACCTTAAGCTGTATTTCATCTTGAGAACATAAAAAGACAGTCGATATGTAGAACTGAGCAGCAAACTGCAGGAACTGTCAAGGCCGCAAAGCACACTATATTGATAAGACTAAACCTGCCAAATGAGTGCATTGCGCCCTTCGCAATAGGGCAAAAATATCTTCCTACTATGGCACAATACGCCAGGAGAAAGCTGCAGGCCATCGATAGCGGACAAACG